TGCCAACTTATTAAGTGTCATAAACAATAAGCTTATATAGTTTTTGAATTCTTGTGTGATTGAAAGTTCCCCAAAAATTCTGATATTTAAAAAATTTCAGAAAACTTGTATTTATTTTTAATCCCTCACACATAAACACACACACACACACTCTCTCTCTCTCTCTCTCTCTCTCTCTCTCTCTTTCTCTCTGTCTTATCTCATTCAAGCAGTTTTGTTTTTTTTTTGGTTTTTGGGTTGGGGGTTAGAAGGGCACCCAAAACTCTTCTATCCCCCATTGGGGGTGAAAAGGACTGAGAATGCCTCCGTCGAGGGCCATTTCTACATTTGGTAAAAATATGCAAGACTAGGTGCTAGGTGGGCACTTAGTCAGTGCCTTGGCCCAAAACCCAGTGCCTTTTGTATTGGCCACCTTAGGCACCTGTTCTTACCCTAAAGCTGCACCTAAGGCCCTCCGTCACCTAGGCCTCTAGGTGGTTGGATTTTATAAATATTGTTTGTGAAGGTTGGATGGCGATAGAGGTGGAGATACTGGTCTGAGATGGAGGTGGAGGTGGTGGCTAGAGATGGAGGTGTAGTTGTTGGATGGAGGTGTAGATGGAGGCTGGAGATGGAAAATGGCAGTGGAACAAACATAATCATAAATTAATTTTTATGAAATTTGTGAAAATCCTATATATATATATATGGAAGATGCTGCTGTACGCCGGCTGGCATATAGGTAAAAATACGCCCAACAGCCCAGATTGAATCTAGGCCGATTTGACGGTCACGAGATGGTCACGATCTCATTTCATGTTTGAATTTTAATTTTTCTTCTACAAATCCAAATAACTTGAAATTTTAGACGTGTGTTCTTCTCATCAAGGCGCACCTAATAAAAATATCAAAAAAATAATTCACAAAAATAATTTGACCAAAATATCCCTGAAACTTTTAGGGGTATTTTGGTCAATTTATTTCATGTACATAATTTTTTGATATTTTTATTAGATTCTCCTATTTTTGAAGAACACACGCCTAAAATTTCAAGTTATTTGGATTTGTAAAAATAAAATTAAAATTAAAACACGAAATGAGTTCCAGATTCAATCTGGGCTGTTGAGCGTATTTTTACGGGGAAGCCCACCGGCTTACAGGATCATTTTCCTATATATATATATATATATATATATATAGGGAAAAAATCTTATTAGCCCACAGGCTGATAGCTACAGTGTCAGCCGACGACCTAGATTCAATCTGAGCCATTGGTTAACACTGTAGCAGTCAGCCCGTGGGCTGACATTATCCATTTTTATATATATATATATATAGGAAAAAGCTTCTGTCAGCCAATGGGCTGATGGAATAGTGTAAGCCCAAGCCCAACGACCCAAATTGAATTTGGGCCGATCCAATGATAACGGCTGTATTTCGTATTTGAATTTTAATTTTTTTCTACAAAT